AACACCTGTTAACATACTAAACTACTTGTGTATATTACGAGGATCAATACAAATAGCAACTAGTTACGAGCATCTTGTTACTGTAGGAGGCAAAACATGCAGAATGTTGAGCAGTAAAGATAAAATACTTATCATATTTGCTAAGCTAAAGAACACTACATGCATACAGTATTATCTTGTGAAAAGAGTGAAAGATTCAAACATAGAGAATATTTGCATATATAACATAGTGCTAAAATTTAAATATAACAAAAGGTGGATTTATCACTATTATGCATCAATTCTGTTCTGTAGCAAGAACTCTATGGAGATTAACACCTGATATCATATCACTGATTCCTGCTTGGCCTTGTCTGCTCCTCGGGAACCCATGAGGTGAGAGAGGGGTGGGACAGGCTCGTTAGCTGGTGCTCCAGAGGGCTATATAAACATCTCCAGGGAGCGCGAGCGACCTGGAGCATGGCAAACAGGAGCAGGTAAACAGGGGCTTGGCACGGCAGTTCGCACAGGCAGGGCAAACAGGTAGGGCACAGCGAACTCCTAGTTTGTTTTTGAGTTGTTTTTTTTGTTGTTTGTTGGTGGGTTTTTTTCCATATTTCAACTTAAGCCAGTAACGGTTTCTAAAAAAATGAAAGCCGTCGCTACTGTTAACACTAGGAATATGTTGACACAGAGAGAACCCTCCAAAAAGGATGCAGCCATTCAGGTCTCTGGCTGTGCAGACTGTTTGACCGTGGCAGCAGTGCCAGAAGACATTGTGAGAGGCACCTGTGTGCGATGCGAGCAGGTCAAAGATTTGCTCTGCATGGTAGCAGAGCTCAAAGAAGAGGTAGAGAGGCTGAGAAGTATTAGAGAAAGTGAAAGGGAAATAAACTGGTGGAGTCACACCCTTTCGACCTCCAAGGAAGTCCAGCAGGAGACAGTGATGCCCTGCCCCTCCTGCCATCAGGAGGCAAACCGAGTGGACAGGGGGAATGGAAACAGGTCCCTGTTCGGAACACCCTCTCGACCCCCATCATCTCCCCAGGTGCCCTTGAACAACAGATATGAGGCTCTAGACTCAGAAACTCAAGTAGAGGTCAGGCAAGAGGAAGACCTGCCTGCAGGATGCACCCTGTCTACCAGACGGGTTACAACTACAGCTATAAGAAAAAAGAGAAGGGTAGTTGTGGTAGGTGACTCCCTTTTGAGGGGAACTGAGGGCCCTATTTGTCGACCAGACCCATCCCTCAGGGAGGTTTGCTGCCTTCCCAGAGCCAGGGTGAGGGACATTGGTAAGAGACTTCCTGAGCTAATTTGAACCTCAGATTACTATCCACTATTGGTAATCCAGGCTGGCAGTGATGATATTAATAGAGTAAGTGCCAGGGCAATCAAAAAGGATTTCAAGGCACTGGGTAGATCAGTTCACAGGACAGGCACACAGGTAGTATTTGTCTCAGTTCCTGTACTTGCTGGAATGAATGAGGAGATGAATGAGGAGAAGTGTAGGAAAGCCTACCTTATCAATTGGTGGCTAAAGGATTGGTGCCACTGTCAAAATTTTGGGTTTTTTGACCATGGGGCAAACTCCACAGTACCCAGTCTTCTTAAACCAGATGGGCTTTAGGTATCTAGGAGGGGCAAAAGGATTGTAGCCCATAAGTTAGCGGGGCTCATCAGGACGGCTTTAAACTAGGTTTGAAGGGGGAAGGGGTTGAATCCAGGCTCTCCAAAGAGAAGCCCAGGGATGAAAAGCCAAAGTTAAGAGTAAAATCAGCAGCCCAGTTGAAGTGCAGGTACACCAATGCACGCAGCATGGACAACAAACAGGAGGAGCTGGAAGCCATCGTGCAGCAGGAAAGCTATGACATAGTTGCCATCACAGAAACGTGGTGGGATAACTCACATGACTGGAGTGCTGCCATGGATGGTTACAAGCTCTTCAGAAAGGACAGGCAGGGTAGGAGAGGTGGAGGGGTGGCTCTATATGTTAGAGAGTCCCTTGACTCTGTAGAACTTGAGGTCACCAATGATAAGGTCGAGTGCCTGTGGATCAGAATCGGGGAAGGCCAACAAGGCTGACATCCTGATGGGAGTCTGTTATAGACCACCCAACCAGGATGATGAAAGGGATGAATTATTCTACAAGCAGCTGGCAGATGTCTCAAAATCGCCAGCCCTTGTTCTTGTAGGTGACTTCAACCTGCCAGATATCTGCTGGGAACTCAATACGGCAGAGAAGAGGCAGTCTAAGAGATTCCTGGAGTGTATAGAGGACAATTCCCTGCTCCAGCTGGTAAATGAACCTACCAGGGGTGGGGCCCCACTAGACCTGTTGTTTACAAACAGAGAGGGGTTGGTGGGAGATGTTGTGGTCGGAGACACACACACACACAGTGACCATGAAATAATAGAGTTTGCAATACTCAAGGATATAAGGAAGGCCACCAATAAAACCTCCACACTGAACTTCCGGAGGGCAGATTTTGGCATGTTCAGAAGACTGGTCCAGAGCATACCCTGGGAAAAAACCCTTGAAAACAAGGGAGTAGAGGAGGGATGGACGTGCTTCAAGAAGGAAGTCTGGAGTGCACAGGAACAGGTTGTACTGGTGTGCCAAAAGGTAAGCCGGCAAGGTAGACAACCAGCTTGGTTGAACAGGGAGATTCTGAAGGAAATCAGGGATAAAAAGAGAGCTTACAGACTATGGAAAATAGGGCTGGCTACTCAGGGTGAGTTTAGGAGTATAACTAGGTCATGCAGAAAGAAAATCAGAGAGACAAATGCACAATTTTAAGTCAATTTGGCTACTTCTGTTAAGGATAACAAAAAGTGCTTCTATAAATACATTAATAACAAAAGGAGGGGCAAGGAAAACCTCCATTCCTTGTTGGACTTGGGGGGAAACATAGTTAACAGGGATGAGGAGAAGGCTGAGGTACTTAACACCTACTCTGCCTCAGTATGCACCAGTAGAACAGATGGCCCTCGGGACAACTGTCCTCTGGAGCTGGTAGACAGGGACAGGAAGCCAAACAGCCCCCTGTATTCCAGGAGGAAATAATCAGTGACTTACTGAGGCACCTGGATCCACACAAGTCCATGGGACCAGATGGGATCCATCCTAAGGTGGTGAGGGAGATGGCAGAAGAGCTTGCCAAGCCACTCTCCATCATTTACCAACAGTCCTGGCTCTCCAGGGATGTTCCAGACAATTGGAAGTTGGCAAATGTCACGCCAATTTACAAAAAGGGTTGCAAGGAGGACCCTGGTAACTAAAGACCTGTCAGCCTGACCTCGGTGCCTGGCAAGGTTATGGAGCAGATCATCCTGAGTGCAATCACACAGCACCTACAAGATGGACAAGGGATCAGAGCCAGCCAGCACGGGTTTAGGAGGGGCAGGTCCTGTCTGACCAACCTGATCTCCTTTTATGATCAGGTGACCCGCCTGGTAAATGAGGGGAAGGCTGTGGATGTGTCTGTCTGGGCTTCAGCAAAGCCTTTGACACCATCTCCCACAGCATACTCCTGGAAAAGCTGCAGCCCACAGCTTGGACAGGGGCACTCTGTGCTGGGTTAGGAACTGGCTGGAGGGCCGGGCCCAGAGAGTGCTGGTGAACGGGGCTGCATCCAGCTGGGGATCAGTCACCAGTGGTGTCCCCCAGGGATCAGTGCTGGGCCCAGTCCTGTTTAACATCTTTATCAATGATTTAGGCGAGGGGATTGAGTCCATCATCAGCAAATTTGCAGATGACACCAAGTTGGGAGGGAGTGTTGACCTGCTGGAAGGCAGGAGGGCTCTGCAGAGGGACCTGGATAGGCTGGAGAGTTGGGCTGATTCCAATGGTATGAAGTTCAAGAAGGCCAAGTGTCGGGTCCTGCACTTTGGCCACAACAACCCCTGCAGCGCTACAGGCTGGGCACAGAGTGGCTGGAGAGCAGCCAGGTGGAAATGGATCTGGGGGTGCTGATCGACAGGAAGCTGAACATGAGCCAGAGTGTGCCCAGGTGGCCAAGAAGGCCAATGGCATCCTGGCCTGCATCAGGAACAGTGTGGCCAGCAGGAGCAGGGAAGTGTTTCTTCCCCTGTCCTCAGCGCTGGTGAGGCCACACCTTGAGTATTGTGTTCAGCTCTGGGCCCCTCAGTTCAGGAAGGATATTGAGATGCTGGAGCAGGTCCAGAGAAGAGTAATGAGGCTGGTTAAGGGACTTGAGCACAAGTCCTGTGAGGAGAGGCTGAGGGAGCTGGGGTTGTTTAGTCTGGAGAAGAGGAGGCTCAGGAGAGACCTCATTACTCTCTACAACTCCCTGAAAGGAGGTTGTAGCCAGGTGGGGGTCGATCTCTTCTCCCAGGCAATCAGCAACAGGACAGGAGGGCACAGGCTTAAGCTCTGTCAGGGGAGGTTTAGGTTGGATATTAGAAAGAAGTTCTTTACAGAGAGAGTGATCAGGTATTGGAATGGCCTGCCCAGAGAGGTGGTGGATTCACCATCCCTGGAGGTTTTTAAGATGAGGCTGGATGTGGCACTGAGTGCCATGATCTAGTAATCACAGTGGGGTTGGATCAAGGGTTGGACTTGATGAACTCAAAGGTCTCTTCCAACCCAGTTAATTCTATGATTCTATGATTCATGTAAAGTTAAATACTCAGCAAAATAAATTAAGGTTCCTGAACTTGCAGTGGCACAATGCTAAGCATATGTTACTTCCAATTTAGATAATTTGTTATTTTTTAACATTACACCTCTAAACATTCTTCTCATTTTCTCTGACATTAGCCATGTTTATCTTAATGATACATTTACAGGTGCTTCCATAGAATTAATTTCTGCATGCAATCCTGGAAACCCACATTTTTAAATTAGGAAAGGAAAACCATGGCTTAAATTCAGGAGTACTGACATATATATATATATGTGTGTGTGCGCGTGTGTTTGTGTGTGAGTGTACATATATATATAGACATAGAATTCTTATATCACAATTTAAGTCTGTTTGCTGGGGTTGATATCTTACCTTCTGTAACATCTGATGTGAAACTTCTCTCATATTCTTCACTGGAGTATTATTTTTGACCCCATCATCTTCACTAAGTTTACGAAGTGGCTCTGTCAGAAAATAAATAACACATTTCTATAATTGAATAAATAAAATACATTGTGACATCTAATATGTCACTAAAACAATCCCTAGACATTTTAAGGAAATGCATTATTTACTTCCGCAATTATTTCTAATGTGGTCTATTTTCTTGACAAGCCTTTTGGTCACTTTCTAAAGAGTGACCTCTCTTCAATTATTATTGAAGAATCTCTGTAGCATCACAGTATGTTTTTTTTCAGAGTATAAGCTTTTCAAAGGTACAATAGATCTGCAGGTTAAAGACACTGTACTTTCATTCCAATTTTTATTCTTTTATAGACTATTCCCTCTACGCCTTAAAAGCAGAATTCATTGCCTTTTTATCTACACAGTCACTACCAGTTTTGTTCTCTAGGTCTTGTTCCCTGCTAGGAGGATCAGAGTGATTGGTGAACAAAGCAAACAGTAACTGAATTAGGATAGATGAAAACTTTAAACCCTGGTTTTTGTTAAGTTAAAGATCATGTACTTCACCAGATGAATCATACAAATTATTCCACTGAAATACTGTGAAATCATAACAATTAGGAATTGGCACAACTAATGAGAGTAAACATGAATCTGTGCATCAGTGTTGGAGACAGCTATACACTTAAATACTTAAAATCCCAAGTTAAAAATTATCTATTGAGAAAGAGGAATGCTAAGAAAATGTTTACAAGCACTAAGACGAACAGTCAATCAGAAGTAAACCACATTCTGTTTAGATTTTAATCAAGAGCTTAGCACTCATAAATTGCCCACTGCTCAAAGAAATGTGCAATTACACACCACAGAAGGTTTTCATCTTAGCGTATGAAATATTACATTAAAGAACAAAAGAATCCCAACACTCTAAAACCACCACAATATTCGTATTTATTTTCTAATCCTTCTTTCCTCCAAATTAACTTAAAAAATTAATCTTAAGGGATAAATATCTGTGCTACATGGTGAAGGTCTGCTTTAGAAGTAATATTTCAAACTACAAGCAGACACTGTAGGTCACTTAAAAACTTTTGATTTATAAACAAAGAAAGTGTAGAAGAAAACAGTGTTACTCTCTGTAGATTCACAATCCTCTTGATATAAACAGTGACTAACAAGTTTGTTAGAGTGAATTAGACCTTTCTTTTGTCTTTGGAACGTGTCATGGCCAATTAATACTTCTGTATTCATGAAATAAATGGAACACTATTCTAAAGATAATAAAAGCTGAAAAAGGTAAAACTATGCATCTGGGGAATATGTACCTTTACCTTGATATTAATATGTTAGTTCCCATGTTACTTCAGACTACAGTCCCCCAGCACAGTGGTACTGCATACATTTAGAACATTCTTTAAGTAACACACAAAGATAATATGAACATGCTTTTCATCTTTTTCTAAATATTCACTCATTTGAATGTCTGTTGTAGCTTTTATATCAGCATTTACTGTACTCCACTGAAAAGAAAAATTATTTCCCATAGTCAAAGAAACTGATCAAAGCACACAAGGTGTTATGTTTATTATGTGGATGTATTAAAATGCAATTTAAAACTCTATAAATAAACATACTATATGCAGATAATAAAGAATACTGCTGCAAAATAGATAGAAAAGACTATACATGTTCAGTATTATCACAGAAGACAAAACGAATGTAAATTCAAGTAAAGCCAAAGGTCACTGATACATAACCCTTTCTATTGAAAGGGTTATAAATGGCCCATTCAAGCCCCTTGTCCTCTCCTCCCTTCTAATTGTTATGTAATTGTTCATTGGACCTGGTTAGGGAGGCAATGAAACAGCATCACCTGTAACTAACTGTCTGTCTGGGATAGCAGAAAGATACATTATATCAGTCTACTCAGCAAGATGTGCGCTCTACCTGTCATACTACTGCATAAAAAAATACCAACTTCTCCCTTAAGGAATAGACCCACAAGTCATAAACCTCACTCTTTTCAGTCATCAAATTACCATGGTCTTACAGAAGCACACTTATGTCCCACTGAGAAAACATAGTTAACTGTCAGCATCAGAATGTAACACTTAATTCCTAATTAATAGTCACCAAATCTGATGATAAGTCAGTTCAACACGGCTGCCAAAATGGTATTTGAACTATGATACCACAGTTCATTATTAGTATTTGCAGAGTCTTCTCACACAGAAAAAAATACCGGTTTTAAAAAGAATAATAGAGCTGTGTAATAGTCACTCACTATATAAACCGTATAGAACCCACATAAACCATCAAAAGAATGACTTTTTTTTTCTGTAACGCACACAAGGTGAAGGATTTCCCTGACAGACAGAAGGTGTCACAAAGTGACCTTGTGCTATGGCGCACTGTCACTGGGTTACTGACCCAGCTACCCATGGTACTGGGTCACAAAAAACAGCTGGCGGATAACACCACTGTGAAGACAAAAAGGGAATGCCATTCTCATGCATAAGCTGAGGACACAGTAGAAGTCTCATAATGAAAAAAGTCTTCAAACTGCCTCCTTGAAGAAATAGTGGGCCAACAGTTTACTGTCTTTTAAGAAGTATTTTAATCCTATTTTTCTGAATAGAATTTGATGAATCCACTATCCTGTTTTTGGAGGAAATGACCTGACTACCTGCCTACACATTCTTTACCTTAATACACAAATAATGATATGAACAGCATGAATAGTGAATTTGGATTTGATGACTACTAGACAATAATTGGACAATGGAATAAAAATGGAAAGCAATTGGGAAGTGCAGGAACAGTTTCCTTTTGCCCTGATCCCCTTCATCTTTGATCATCACAGTTTGAAAAATTATACAGAAGAACAACAAAGCTATCCAATTCTTTTTGCTGAAAAACATAACTGATATCAAATGAAACAAGACAATATGCACTATTTTAATACAGGAAAGCTCTGTCTCTTTTACAGAATTTATCCCTTGATATTAGAATACCTGAAGAAAACAGGTATTTGCTAAGGTGAAAGTGAATTCCAACATCAGTCCTAAGTGCTAAAGAGGTTTTGCTTAATACGTATCCTTGGACTGTAATCTTAGCAGAAGTTTTCTGTCCATTTACACGATACCTATAACAACACACACTGGAAGAGGTAAATAAAATTTGCCCAACACACTTCACTAGTAATTTAACCCTTCTCAGTCCCAAGAAACAGTTAATCATCACACCAGTAACCAAACCAGAACTGTGCCTCCTCCCACAAGCTTTTAGAAGAGGATATTTTTAATCTGAAAGATAATGAAAAAAGAAGGAATAAAAGACTAACTGTTAAAGCACTAAACATGTCAAAAACTGGCAGTTTTAGAAATTTCACTGGTTTTTGGAAAAGGATGGATATTACTCAGCAGGCCCTTAACTCCTTCTCACTGCTGGTTGTCTTGCACTTTCTTTCTGTATAAAGACTAATTAAATTGGAAAAAATGAAGAAGTGATTTTTAAAGTCAGTGTTTAAAACCTTCACTAATTCCCTTCAGCTCTGTCTGTGGCTATGAACATAACATATGAGAAGCAGTACAAAAGAAAACAGTAACTTTCAGTTTTCAGCAGCTTGATATTTCCACTAAGTTTTAGAGATACAATTTTAAAATGAAAGGAAAAAATATTTTATTTCTTCATTCATTTATTTTTCATTTCATTTATTTTTTTCATTTAAGTGACCAACATTATCATAAGAAAACAGAAAATAGCCACCAGCAGAAAACTATGATAAAGAAGGGTAAAGCTTTATTGGTAAAAACATGTAGAGTACTTCACCAAGTCTCCTACTTTCCTTTGCACAACACTGTGTAAAAAGAATTCACCAGAGAATCAATACATAGAAGAATGTAACTATGAACTCTTGAATATTTCTCCCAGATGATTCAGGAACAGCTAATAGTACAACGAATCAGAGGAGTGATGGAGAGGCAACAGTAACATATTACCTATCTGACTGACAAAGACTCATCTTCATAGAACCATCAACTACTATAAAGATTGTAAAGATATAAAAGAAGATACTGATGATCAATTCTTACACAAATGTCACCATTTTGATTTACTTTCAAATTCACACACTTTATCAGACAATCAGATAGTTTTAAAAGAGAATTCTGAATAAGCACCAAATTTCCGTATCACTATACCTCAACATGCAAAAACCATTTCAGATTCTGCAGAGAACTTCATAAGCATATAAACATATTTTAGACTTTACATATATACATTGATATATATGTATATTACTATACACATGTGTTTTGGTTTTAAACAAAATAATTGACTTATTCTATATGTAGTATACACACACAAGTTGCAAATGTTTTACTGTGTATATATATGTGTGTACACATAAAAATTGTCATAGATTTAATAGATGTGTGGAAAACTACTGGGCAAACATACTTGCAAATCACATATATGGCCTTACGCTTTTAAAATACACATTTAAGAAAAAGAAGTCAACCTCTGGAGACAAAAATAACCTCAGAATCAGTATTTCTTATAGAAAACTGTATTGGGTTTGCATGATCAGATTTTAGTAACAGGAGTGTTACAGCAGTAGCTTCTGTGAGAAGCTGCCCAAAACTTCCCCCATGTCTGGCAGAGCCACTGCCAGGTGGTTATAAGAGGAACATACCACTGGCCAAGGCTGAGCCAATCAGAGTTAATGGCAACATCTCTTGACAACATATTTAAGAAGAAAAATAGTTACTGTGCAGATTTAATTGTGCTTGGGGAAGAGAAAAGCGAGAATATATGAGAGGAACAGTCCTGCAGACACCAAGGTTAGTGGAGAAGGAAGGGAAGAAGGTGTTCCAGGTGCCGGAGCTGAGGTTCCCCATGGTGCATATCATGATGAGGCAAGCTGTGCCCCTTCAGCCCATGGAGGACCACAGGAGTGCAGAGATCCACCTGCAACCCATGGAGGAGACCTGCACCAGAGCAGGTGGATGCCCTGAACTGTGAACCTGTGGGAAAGCTGTGGTGAGGCAGGCTCCTGGCAGTGACCTGAAGACCCATGGAGAGAAGAACTCATGGTGAAGCAGGCTCCTGGTAGGCATTGTGACCCTGTGTGGGACCCACCCTAGAGTAGGTTGTGCCTGATAGACTCCACCCTGTGAACAAGTGATCCATGTTACAGCAGTTCGTGAAGAACTCTTGCCCATGGAATGGACTCACACTGCAGAAGTTTGTGGAGAACTGTCTCCTGCAAGAGGGCCCCACGGGGAGCAGGGGAAGGACTCCTTTTGTGATGAACTGATTGTAACCCCCATTCCCCATCTCCCTGTGCTGCTGGGAGGGAGGAGGTAGAACTGGGAAGGAGGGAGGGGTGGGGGAAGGTGTTTACAAGATTTGTTTTTACTTCTCATTTTCATGTTTTGATTTTGTTTTATTAATGAATTTAATTAATATCCCCAAGTTCAGTCTGTTTTGCCAGTGATGGTATTTGTGAGTGATGTTTCCCAGTCTTTATTGCAACTTTTGTATATTTTGCTATATTTTCTCTCCCCTGTTCAGCTGCAGAGCAGCTTTGGTGGGTGCCAAGGTCAACCTACTACTACATATACACATATAAAATATTATACCTTCCTTTTTTGTTGTAAAAATAGTTAAGATCCTGTATTGTGAACTTACCCACAGATTGGTGTATTTTCATCTGATCCAATTCTTCTTCAAGATTCAGTCTACAAAAGAGGAAATAAGAAAATAAGAACCACAGAACAATCACATATGCCACTCAATCACACAATGCCACTAAAATGATTTAAAAAATTAAACCAAAACCATATCAATACATTACTGGGAAAAAAATTGTTAACACTCAGGAATGAGTTCTAATGTGATAACACTTAGCATACTTCATGTGTAAGGAGTCATTTGTACAGCATCTTTTTAAAATTTACAAATCATCTGAATTTCAAAAATTCAGATACAATGTTGATCGTATCATACATCAAGAAATTTCAGCTGATCTTTTTAAGTAAGAAAATACCTGAGATAAAAAAAAGACTGGTAGGAGGTAGAATCCTGTTAGGATGGGAATAAGTACTCCGTCTCAGGTGGAACCACTTGTGCAGATATATCTTAGCAGTTAGCAACTCTTTGAGAAACTTATTAACAAAATATTTCCTGCCCTTCTTCCAGCCTTGATCTACCAGTATATTACTACCATAGTTTATTCTGTAATATTAACCAGCAGAATTACCTGAATCAGTCTTTTTCAATTTATTAAAATTACAAACAAATAAAGTCACCAAGATAACAATGCTAAAGTCTCAAAGTCAAATTGGGAAATGCTAGAATGAAAAATATTAATTTAAACTGTTCATTTATACTTGTGTTTTCTGATACAATCTCTAACTATATAGTTACACACTATTTCAGCAATAAAATCCTCATCCATTTTAGCCAAGGATCCTACAGCACACAGAATAGAGCACAGTCATTTAATTTGCCCCTTTCACTTACAATAAACACATATCTTATACAAATACACATTATTCTAGCAGTGTTGTAGAAGTTAGATTGCTAGTTTTCTCACAGTTATTTCTGCTCTACTCTGAACAGTAGCATCTATTTCACAGGAAATTTATGCTTTACACTACTTTGCTCTCTGAGATAAGGCATAAAAAACTCTGGACAAACTATTTTAAGGAAAGGCCTAAAAAAAAAGGTCTTCAAGTATACCTAGTATATTACAGTACCTTATACATCATATGCACCTCTGACTCAGCTGTAAAACATGAATTAAAATGAAAATTATAGATGTGAAAAATTAGAGTAACTTGTTTTGCATGACACATAAGAATCCAGCTGTTTTTTCAGGATCACTCAGCTGCCTTCATTGGCTTTCTTTGCTCTTCTTTCATCCTCCAAAACTCAGTCAGTCATCATCAATTTCTATTACACGGACTACAGTAGCCTTTGTCTCCACACTATCCTAACTCCACACAGTATGTTAACTTTTTGCACAGAATTGCAAAGTATTTCCTTGAAAAAAACATTTTTACATAATTAAAAACTGAATCCAACATGACTGCTTCCTGCTTGAACCTCTATCTTCTGAACAAGTTAGTTTTCAACTTCAAAAACATTATCTGAATGAAAATGTTTATGAACATATATAATGCCTCTCTATACTTCAATTGACAAGCACACAATAATGATTGTATAAGATTTTTTAAGAGCAAACTTTTCACAAAGATTTTTCTTTAGGCTGAGGAAACTTCATGAAGAAGTAACTAAATCATATTAAATAAGTAAAGGGGTAGATTTATAGTCTGAATATCTGAAATGCCTCTAAAAAAATTAATCCATCTGTGAAATAGTCTCCAACTAAAGTTATGATACATTTAGGCCAGAAAAATTTCAGTCAAGTCCGGACAAGAAATTACAATATACAACACAAGATCCAATTCACAGAAGTCAATGACTAGCTTGCATGAATGTTAGAAATGCTCAGGTGGGTTAGCCCAGTGCCAGGTCCATCCATCACCAGTACTCCATCTCCAGCAGAGGCAAAAGCAGATGCTACTCAGGAAAGAGAGCAAGTATAACAGTTTCTGCAGTCTGATTCAAACTTTCCACCCTAGAAGTGGCATGTAAGCACTACTCTTTGTTTCTTCAGCTTTAACTGGTTCCCTGTCACTAAAAGAACCTTTTCTCTAATCCCACAGCAATCAGATTTCTTTTTCTTAACCTTTCAGTTGTCAAAGGCAACTGAAAAATGCAGAGCAGATTGCTACTACCACATAGTTACTATCACTCTTCCATAATTCCAGCAGGTTAATGAAGCAGGATTTCCCTTTAAAAGAGTCACAGTAATGCTTCCCCCAAAAAACTGTGTTGATCTATGCTTAGTGATCTCTCTCTCCAGTCATTTTTTTGGGGTTGGTTGGTTGTTCTTTTCATCTCCTCTCCAAGCACCATTTTTTCCTGAAGACTGACTGCCACCTTCCCAAGTATGGAAGCAGTCAGGCTCACTGGTCTGCAGCTCCCTCTGGAGCCCACTCTGTAGATAAGAGTTAACAGATGCAACCTGCCAGTCCGCTGGCACAGTGGATGTTAACAATGAGATTACAGTTCAGCAATTTCATACTTTCACATCCCTTGGGTGTGAACATGCTTCAGTTTCTTCATACCTTGGTATGGGAAGAATATTAGCATCAAGATATTAACAACTAATCAACTTGACCTCATAATTGCTTTAAATAGGTCTAGCACCTTTAATCTATGTTACAAAGAATATCTGACTTATTGGCATCTTCTTAGCATCATTAGCAGGGAATCATACAGTCATAAAATGGTTTGGGTTGGAAGGAATCCTAAAGATCATCTAGTAGCAAAGACTGACTGAGCAAAAGATTGTTCTTTTATAGTTTTGTAAACCCAGCGTATCATTTTACACTGTTATCATTAAACAAACCTGTACATTTCCTTACTGTCTTCTTTTACACCTATTATAAGCAAAATTTTACTGTAACAGCTTAAGCACATTTGAAAACTAATCTTCAAGAACCTGTTTAGGCTTCTCAACTTCCCACATGCATTTGCCCTGCCACTTTTTATTGGCCCTACTTTTTTGTAGCAACACAAGTTTAAATATTAAATTATGACCTTTTCTCTGTGAAGGCCATAAAAACTTACCCACTTAGTCTCTAGATAGAGCTACTTAAGACTGTTTTGGGACACGGGTTGGTTTAGGGTTATTTGGATTGGTTATCTGGGTTGGTTTGAGGTTACTGTCAGTGCTGATCACTTTTGAACATCACCTCCTAAGGGCACAGGAGCAGCAATTCCCAAATGTTGAAATCAAGCAGGGAAGGCACAAGGCTGGCTTGGCTGAACAGAAATCTTTGCTTGGAATTAAGGCAAAAAAGGAAGCTGTATGCCCAGTGGAAGCAAGGTCAAGTCACTTGGGAAGAATTCAGAGATGCTGCTTGTCACTGTAGGGAGAAGATTTGTGAAGTCAAAGCTCAACTGGAGTTGCAGCTAGCCAGGAATGTGGGGCACAATAAAAATTGTTTTTTTCAAATATATTAATGTCAATAGGCAGTATAGAAATATCATTGCCCTGTTACAGGATGAGGATGGTAATTTCACAAACAGGGACAGAGGCAAGGCAGAGGTGTTTAATGCTTTCTTTGCCTCTGTCTTCAACACAGATGATTGACCAAGAGGGTCCCAGTGCCCTGAGCTGGAGGACCATGACTGCGAGAATGATCACCTCCCAGTCGACCCTGAAGTTGGGATCTGCTGCTCCAGCTGGATCACTAGAAATCTATAGGGCATGATTGCAAAATGATTTTTGAGTGGTCTTGGGTATTCAGAGAGGTCCCAGCTGGCTGGAAGCTGGCAAATGCTGTCCCAGTTTTCAAGAAGGGAAAGAAACAGGACCTCAGCAAGTACAGATCTGTCAGACTCACTTAAGTGTATGGTAAAGTCATGGAAAAGAATATTCTGCTAAGTAATGATAAACAGCTGAAAGACAACACAGTCATTGATCAGAGCCAGCATGGCCTCACGAGACAAAAGTCCTGCTTATCCCACTTGATTTCCTTTTATGACATGGTAATCCACGTAGTTGATCAAGGGAAGCCAGCTGATGTAATCATTTTGGATTTCAGTAAAGCTTTGGATACTTTCTCTCACAGGATCCTTCTGGACAAATTGTCCAGCACACAGCCAGATAAACACATCATGTGGTGGGTCAGCAATTGGCTCACGGGCTGAACACAGAGGGTAACAGTGAATGGGGTGACACCAGAGTGGTGACCTGTCACTAGTGGGGTTCCACAAGGCTCCATCCTGGGCCCTGTGCTCTTCAACATCTTCATAAATGACTTGGACACAGGACTGGAAGGGATACTAAGCAAGTTTGCAGATGATACAAAACTGGGAGGAGCTGTTGACTCCCTTGAAGGTAGAGAGGCTCTGCAGGGACACCTTGACAAATTAGAGGACTGGGCAATCACCAACCAGATGAAGTTCAACAAGGGAAAGTGCCGGATTCTGTACTTGGGATGGAGCAAACTTGGATGTTTGTATAGACTGGGGAATGAGATGCTGGAAAGCAGTGACACAGAAAGGGACCTTGGGGTCCTGGTCAATGGCAAGTTGAATATGAGTCAGCAGTGCCCTGGCAGCCAGAAGGGCCAACTGTGTCCTGGGGGACATCAGGCAAAGCATTGTCAATCAGTCAAGGGAGGGGACTGTCCTGCTCTGCTCTGCACTGGGGCAGCCTCACCTTGAATATTGTGTGCAGTTTTGGGCACCACAACACAGGAAAGATATTAAGCCATTAGAGATTGTCCAAAGGAGGGCAAGGAAGATGGTGAAGGGCCTTGAGGGGAAGCCTTATGAGGAGCAGCTGAGGTCACTCGGTCTGTTCAGCCTGAAGAGGAGGATACTGAGGGGAGACCTCATTGCAGTCACAACTTCTTCGTGAAGGGAAGAGGAGAGGTAGACACTGATCTCTTCTCTGTGGTGATCAGTGACAGAACCCAAGGGAATGGCCTGAAGTTGTGTCAGGAGAGGTTTAGGTTAAATATTAGAATGAGATTCTTCACTTAGAGGGTGGTTGGGCACTGCAACAGGCTCCCCTGGGAAATGGTTACAGCACCAAGCCTGACAGAGTTCAAGAAGTGTTTGGACAATGCTCTCAGGCATGTAGTGTGACTCTTGG